CTCTCCCTCCATCCCCTCCTCCCGTTTCCTTTCCCCCTCTCCTTCCGTCCTTCCCCCCCATTTCCCTTCCCCTTTCCTCCTCCTCTTTCCTTTCCCCCTCTCCTTCCGTCCTTCCCCCCCATTTCCCTTCCCCTTTCCTCCTCCTCTTTCCTTTCCCCCTCTCCTTCCTTCCTTCCTTCCTTCCCATTTCCCTTCCCCTTCCCCATCTCTCTCTCCATTCCCTCCTCCTCTTTCCTTTCCCCCTCTCCTTCCGTCCTTCCCCCCCATTTCCCTTCCCCTTTCCTCCTCCTCTTTCCTTTCCCCCTCTCCTTCCTTCCTTCCATCCTTCCTTCTCATTTCCCTTCCCCTTTCCCCTTCCCTCTCTCCATTCCCTCTTCCCCTTTCCTCCTCCCCTTTCCCTTCCCCCTCTCCTTCCTTCCTTTCCATTTCCCTTGCCCTTTCCTTTTCCCTTCCCCTCTCTCCTACTCCTTCCCTTCTCTCCTGTCCTTCCTTCCTTCCCCTTCTCTTTCTCCCTTTCCCAGCCCCTCCCCATTCCTGATCCAGGGCCCTCTAAATCAACCCAATGAAAGCATAGCCCTTTGAGAGCAAGGTGGGGGCCTACCTCATTTTCATTTAAAGTTGGCACCCTTTGATTCACACCCTTCCTTCTGCAGTGCTCTGTAAGCTGTGGGGTTGGCACACAAAGAAGGAAAGCCACCTGCCAAAAGCGCACGGCCAGCGGCCAACATCTGGCATTAAATGGATCCCTTTGCAGCGGCTTTCCAGCATCCCAGCTTGTCAGGCCTTGCCACAGGAATGCCTGCAGAGGTAAGTGATGTTCTTTGACCATGTTTGTGAAGGGAAAAAGTCTCCAGCTTCAAAAACATTCCCTTTACCCCAAGATATAACCCACGTGCCAGACCTTTCCGTTAAGAATCCATGGCATATCCTATTATCCCAGGATTGCAAAGTGCCCTTAATTTGTGGGGGGAAAAACAACAAAGTATGAAGTCTCCGTCAACTATCTGCAATTTTTATAAAGCCTTGAAGACTTTTCTTTTGTGGAACTGGGGTTGATTTTTCCACAGCAACTATTGTTCCATTGCAACTATTGTTCCCCTGGGCCAGTCCTGGAGTCTGGGGAAGGCTCTGATGAAGGCTTTGTGTCCCATCTTTTGTGCTGCTTTCGGCAAAATGATTTTTTAAAAATATATATATTTTAATTGAAAAGACAGTGCCATGTCAGGATAACAATTACAAATAAAGCAACGCCAGAAAACAAAAAATTAAAAGTTAATAATAAATCTTAACACACACTCTAGTGACTATCACAGTAATATAAAAACAGTAACAATAGCAGTAATTATAGTAGCATAACCAAAAGGAGTAGAGGAAAATAAAGCTTTAACTAAGTTTCTATTTACGTTAACCTATTTACAATTTTTCATTTACTATATTCATGTTTTAATGCATCTTTATTTTCCATACTAACAATTCTTAACCTTTGTAAATTTTTATTCCCTCTCGTTTGTGACTCTTACTTCTATCCATTCGTAAAATTCATTCCATGTCTGATAATATTTCCAGTCTTCCTTATGTTTAATGTTTAAGGTTAATCTATCCATTTCGGCACAATCCCAAATTTTCCTAATTATGTCCTCATCCGATGGGGTATTTAGCGTATATATCTCTTGCGGTATATGTAACACTAAGTATATATCACATCTTTCCAATAATATACCTAAGAGGCATGTTTCTGGTTTGAATTCAATATGTTGTTCAGTTATCATTTCCAACCAATTATGATTTTTTTCCCCAGTAATTCCTTGCTTTCCTACATGATCACCACATGTAGTAATAGGTTCCTGGGAAAACAATTCTTAACATGTTGCCCAAAGCATACGAAAGATGAACAACTAACTCCATCTCTATTTGCCCCAATTCCCTCTAGATCGGCTTTAATTTGACCGGCTCTTTTTACCTTCAGTGAAAGGCTAACTCAAGAGACAAATTACATTTAAAAAAATAATAATAAATCAGCAATTTCACAGTTAGGATTTTCCCCTTGCCTTTCTTTAAAAGCAGTTCTGGGAGGGCGGCCATTTTGATTTGCGGGTTTTTCCATGTGGCTTTTTCTATTTCGAGAAATGCAGTCCGCCATTTTTACTTTGACCAATTCTTCTGCTCTAAAAACTATAGGCCAAAGGCATCAGGGGTGGGCTTCAAAAAATTCAGCAACGGGTTCTCTGCCCAGTTGCTGGGTGGGCGTGGATGTGGTGGGCATGGTGGGTGTGGCCTAATCAGCCTCCTGCACCACAGCGGGAGGTTCCGGAGGCTTTACTCGAGCCCCTGGGAGGGCAAAAACTGCCCTGCATTTACCTCACATCCAAAACAGACTGTGTGGAGACTCCTGGGAGAGCCAGGTGGGCTGGGAGGAGTGGAGTGAACCGGGGTGAGACAGCCAGAGGTAGAATTTTGAGTTTCTTCGAACCGAACATATCGTTAGCTATGGTTTTCCCCGACCCCGGGCGAACCTGTAGCAACCCATCCATGAAAGGCAGGTGTGTTGCTTCTCTTTCT